AAAAAAAAAAAAAAAAAAAAAAAAAAAAAACACACACATCATAGTAAAATTAATACCTTCTCCGCTTCGCATCGAAGCTAAAATAATTTTGAAAATAGGAGTTAATTTTGTTTTTGTAATTATTCACCAATTTCTTAAAATTAATCACTATCTACATAATTAATCGAAGTGATTTTAATATAATTCAAATATCATCTACATTTGTCCCAAGTATGCCACGTCCACATTATGCTACGACCCTACTGTGCTACCGTTTTTTTTATTTATTAAGTTAATTAAGTTATAAATAAAAACAAATTCTTAGCTGGTACAGTCTTAGATTTTTATTTTATATGTGATACTGCCTTAAGAACATTTGAATTGTTATTTCCAATGCAATACAATGTTATACCAGATATTATCCTAAAAATATATATATATTTTGAGGATACGTGCTATTGTATTGTCAATAACTATTATATATAATAATTTATTGTTATTGATGTGTACGTGTTATTGAATACTACAGTTTTAATACATTACAATAGTTGAAATTTAGGATTCTTCAACATTTTTAAACGTTTTACCTCAAAAACCATCCAAATGGTCAAGGACTCCCAAAAATGATAATGAGAAAAATATTTCCTGGTTCCCCAGAGCTGTATATTTTTATGGACTTTCTGAAGATGCGCATTGGAATCGACATTTAGATATTGATGTTAATTATTACGAACCAAAAACGGTGCATCAAATATCATTAGACGAATGTACAGATACTTATTGTTGTGATACTGCAGATGCTTTATTTTTAAAACGAAAACCAATATCATTTGCCATAATAGGGAAACTGATATCGTTAAATGAAAAATTAGCTACTTTGTTAGCTTCTTATTGGGGATGTATTCATATTTCTATAGATAACTGTTTAAATGGACACATTGCGATATCTGAAAAAAATTTGAATTTATTGCGACGTGGAGAAATGATAAACTTGAATACTAACTTCATTGATATTTTAGGAATCAACACCCCCATTGTTAAAGAACGTGGATACGTATTAACAGGATTGCCAAAGTAAAAAGTCTACATACATTTAATATGACAATAATTTTTTTTTAAAATAACTTATCCTTTTAAATGATAAAAAACATAACAATGAATTGATCTAGTCATTAATATTTTGTGTTCATTTTAATACAAACTTTCCTTCAAAAATACATTAAAAAAACTAAAAAAGTTAAATCATAATGCTGCTGAATAAATAATAATGGTCTAAATAGTTTTATATCATTATTATATAATATCTAAGCGTTTGTTATTATTATTCTGTAATTTTATTAAACTTTAATCCTTTCTTCTTTATTTTACTTTAGTATGAGATTCGTTTTATATATTTCTTTGTGGCTTCTTTAAAGATTTCATTACTAATATTTATAATTGTAAAAGGACGGCGAAATGAATAAGACCATACATATTATATGAAGGCTGTATAGGAAAATTATAATACAAAAATATAATATATCTCTTACAAAATACATTTTAGATTAGACGTACCTCTACATTTTTTCTACATACATAATTTATAATTCAGTATCAAATTAAGTGATACAAAATTAATGTATATTGCACTTTTTAATTGAATGATCGTTGGTTCCATGGTTACAAAATTATTTTGAATAATAGGAATATTCTAGGGTATTTTGAATTTAAATATCCCTAAATATATTTTTGTAAAATTGTCGAAATACAATTTAATTACTTGAACTAGGCTTGAGCCTAACCTTTAATTAATGATGAATAAAGCATTTATTAAAAGAAACTAATTTTTGAAAACTAAAATCATTATAAATTTTTCTTAATTAATTTTTTTTTAATAATAGCAACTTTTATTTCCACTTTAAAATATTTTTAAAAACATATTTTATGATTGACAAGTATAATTTGTTAAACAAATTTCTAGGTATGATTCAAAAATTACCAACAAATCACAAATGGACACTATATTTTCTATTAATCCACCAAACATATTAATTTATCTAAGTATAAATAACGACGATATTGACAATTACTATTTAAAAATAGAAAAAAAAACAATTAAACGAAAACTTTTTAAGGAAAATGAATTTTCACATCACAATATACATCTTAATATAGAAAAAAATGATATGTTTAATAACTCATTTCCAAATAAAAAGTTTATTGACACTTATAATTATGAAAAATTTACTTTAAACGCTGTAGAAGAAACAATTAAACGTTTTGACCCACAATACGTTATCACATTAGATGGGCGGCAACCTGTTCAAGATATATTTAAAACTGTTGAAATTAAATTACGAACACTTCCACTTCATAGGATAGTTCATCCAAAAATGATTCAAAATGATAATATTCCAATTTGTAGAAGTATATCAATAACAGATCGATATGAAATTGACATCATTGATGATAACAATGCCGAATCAGTTTTATTTGGAACAGGAACACTTTTATCAGATAGTTTAAATTCAATTAACGAATCAAATAAAAATTCAAGTGACCAATATTTACGTAAAATTTCTGATTATGGTAAACTGTGTCCAGTGAGTTTGTATAACGGAAATTTAGTAAATGGTAGCGATCATTATACCATTGAATTTTTAGGAAAATTATACTTTTTTGTAGGAATTTATGAAATGAATTTATTTTATAAATTTCCGCGCCAATTTTTGGAAATCCCAAGACCAAACATTCCTGTAAAAGCTATTTTTTATGGGCCATCAATTTTAGTGGATCCTTTAGCTAAAGCTACATGTGAATTTTTCAAGTTTAAGTTAATAAACATTAATTCAATAAAACAAACATATGAACAAAATTCACAAAAAATCTTTATTGCTACTATTGTTGATGCAATTAAAACAATTACAAAGGAACATGTGAAATCAAAAATTGAACAAAGAAATAAAGTCAAAAACATACAAAAAGCTATAGGAAGATGGATGCATCTATACTTTGGTGTAAAATTCAATAAACAAAATTATTATAGAGAAGTAAACTTGAATGTATACGAAGAAATAGAAGATGAATATAACTTTGAATATGGTAATAATATTAGTAGCAATTTAAAAAATAATTCGGAAAGTTTCATTTTCAATTCTGTGTCATGTATCCAAAAACTGATATGTTACAAAAATTTGATATTGGGATAACAGATAGTAATGTAAAAAAGGGTATTATCTGTTGTCTACAAAAAATTATATGCATTTACTGTTTATATTAGTATAGTATTTTTTTTTTTGTACATCAAAAATATCATTTTGTATAAGACGTCATTAAAATTTGATATTTATTTTTGTTTTCTTGAAAAATTGACACGTCAGCTTTTGGAAATAATAGAATTTACTAGGAAACAAAAATTATCATACTTAACTACTGAAATAACTAAGATTCAATATTTGATAGAAGTTAAATTATCTCGATATTCATTTCTACTTATCAAAAACAGTTGTATTTTGAATATTGATTTATTGTTATCATAACTCATTTAATTTCAACAAATATATGGTTAAAATTAGTCTTTTCCTTCTTCTAAAAAATAACATTTACTTATAACAATTTTTAATATGATTTCAAACCTAATCCTTACTTAGGATTTTCATTAAGCTTTCACAAAAAAACTTATCAAAATAAATTTTATTGTATCTCAAATTTTTCATTATATCAATGTATTTTTTTTAAAAAGTTACAGTAAAATGAAAAAAGTGACGACAGGAAATGTACGATTTTTAGCAAATAAGGTCAAATAACACTTAGATAAAATATCGTTGAGATATATTTTTTTATAAAGTACTTTAAAAAACTTTTAATTTGATATAGGTTAAAATTTTAATTTAGTGTACAAGTTGTTAGACCTTTCAAAACATTTTGAATTTAAATTTCAATAAAAATATTTTTATTTTATTATATATTTTTTAATCTAAGAATTAAATATGTTGCCTTTTTATTGTTCAAACTATATGAAGAATATATTTTTTAAATCCTAATTACGTTTTTTTTTTGTCATTGGAATAACCATAACTGTAAGTTAAATTTAACAAAATACGAAATATATATACGAATAATATATTTCAGATTTTCTTTTCCTAAATTAACGATTTTTCTAAACTTCGAGGAACTTGAGGCTTGTGTTAATCTTATCACATCAGTCTCAAATTTTACACAACTTATTTTTATAAGTATTTAATATTTGTAAGTTTTTGTAGGAAAATTAAAAATATCTAATTTTTAGAATCGTCATAATACTTACCTAATTAATTATACAATTAGATTGATTTATTATTAACCATTTAATTTTTCTTATTACTTTAATTAGATTTATTTAGTTTGTTTAACAACATATATTTCTTAATTTATAAATTAAAAAAAGTAGTAACTGTTGCTACTTTGTTTTATAGACATACATATTAAGCATGCTTAAATAATTGAAAATGATCTAAGAATAAATTAAAAAAAACCATTAGTAGTACGATCCCACCATGATCGTATGATACAAACATTTTAAAATGCTCAACATTATTAATATTTTATGTAAATTAATTTAATCTGCATATTCACAAATCTTGTAAATAGAACTATTTTTCGTGGAAACTAAATTTTACCTAATAATTCATTTTACCAATAAATTATATTTACTCAAAACTTATTTATTTTTTACTGTTATTTTTTCAGACCAAGAGGCTGAAGAAAACTTTAATAATTATGATATATTACAACTAAGACTTTTCTTTAAAAAGAATGGAATAAAATTTATTGAAAATTTCGATTCATGTATCGAAGCTTATAACAAGCCCGAGATACTTTTAAATTATTTTCGTGGGATATCAATTGAAAATTACAAAGACTTCAGAAAAATTTACTACAAGAAAAATTGCATTGCACAGTTTGACATAGTAAACATAATACTTCAAGATATACAGAAAAGGAGAGAGCAATATTTAAATTGGGTTATGATAAATGCACCAATGGATTATTTATTTTTAAGAAAATTAAAAGAAGTAGATCTGTGTCCTATTCAATTAGTATACATTCAGGATGCAGATCCCTTGCATAAATTATTTCTAAGCAATATTTTATTAAGTGAAAATATTGAGCTAGTAATTTGGGAATCATTTGAAAATGTAAAAAAAGGTTCAAGATTTGATGCAAAGGCGAATCAAAAACCGTATTCCCAATTTTTAAGTCAAATTGAAAATAATTCAAATATGATTTATAGCGAAGATAAACTTTTAATGGAAGAATTTTATGAAATAATCAACTCAGAAGTAGATGAAGAAATTAACGAAGATGTGAATTTTATAAGCCACGAACAACTACTGGAGACTATTATTCCTGAAATAATAGAAAGAATAAATCAATACATCGAAAGTTATAACAAACAATGGCTAATATTTAAAAATGAAGTATCTAATAAGTGTAAAAACTTCTTTGATTTTTCTGTTATAAATACTAAATCAAAAGGTACTGACTTGGACAAATTTAAAAACTTGATTGAAGATACGTTGTATCATATAAAAAAGTAATCATATTTTAAGTTACCAAATTTTTTTTATAAAATAACATAAAAACATAATCAATTTTTTAGATTTAATTCAAATCAAGCTATAGAAGTGCCTTTTTTATCATCAAAATCAACTCCAAAAGTTTCTATACATAATGGAGACACCTCTATTTACTGTCCGGTAAAGCTCACAGAAAATAAACTTATACTAGGATCAAACAAATACAGAGCAATTTATAAAAATAAATTTTATTTTATGTGTTCCGAAGATTCGTATAAAACTTTTATTTCAAATCCCCAAAAATATTCATCATATATTAATCCTATAATATATTATCCAAAACCTAAAATTTCTATACTTCATTCATTTGGCCAAAGCATAAACAAATTAACAAATGAATTAAAAACAAAATTAAACTTTACAGTTGTTGAATTTTTTTCAATGATTCAACAAATTATACCTAAAAATATGCCAATGCTTGGTCAGATTTTTGAAGAACCAACATTAAAAAAATTTATGGATGATTATCTTATAGATGACAACTTTTATTTTAAAAACAATATTACAAAAATCCGAAAATACATTGATATGGAAAATTCACACTTAACCGATAAAGATTGGCTAAAAATGAATTCATTATTCCATCAAATAGAAGATAATTTATGCTATATAAACTATCCAAGAAAGTCAACAGAACTAATGTATTTAAAAGAAAACAATATATCACCTGATATTATAATACATATTACAAGCAATCCACAAGAAATTCATAATAAAGCAAAAGAGATAGTAACTAATAATTGGTTAAGTTATCAAGCTAGTATATTAGAAAAAATAATTGAAAAAGATACTATAACTAGACAGAATTACTTAAAAACCCGATCTGAATTTTTCAAAAATAAGTTAAAAGAAATAGACAAAATAAGAAATAATGATGCATTAAAAATGCGTGTTAACCGAATGATTAAAGCAATAGTATTAGATGCAATAAAAGATCCAAATATTATGTTATATGATTGTAATAACCCTAAAGAAAATAATAAGATAATAAATATATCAACTTTTTTAGCAAAATTAAATAGTTTAACGTTAAATCAAAAGAAAATTATAATAAAGAACGAGTTAAAAGAATGTGACCTCATAAAATTAAAAGACTTCAGTACTTTAGATAAAATTGAAAATATAGTAGACTCTCAACTACCTAATCCAATGTATCTCTTAAAGAAAGGATTTATTGATCAATTTCCAACACCTTCTGACAATATGATTCAACGTTATTTAGAATCTGAAAATAAAGAAATTTTGAATATGAAATACTTTGCTGAAGAATTTAATATTCCTTGGATAACACTATCAGACTCTAAATATTATGCAGAAGTGCTATCAATTCTAAAAAACATTTTAATAAAAAATGAAAACATTTTTGAAAATGTTTTTGAGGTAGAATTTAAAACAGCAGAACAAATGTTATCTAGCGGTGAAGTGTTTCTAAGTAAATTTGGTTACTGGTGTCCAATTCAATCGTATGAAAATAATGATTTTATACAAAATTATTTGGTAAATGATTTAAACGACACTATATATCCAATAATTCATAGAAAGTATGTATATTATATTCACAACGTATCCAATCGTACTAAGTTCATTACACATCCGTTAAAATATATTCTTCAACCATTTTTTCAGCCCCCAAATATATCAATCAGAATGGCTATTGTTGGACCTCCCAAAAGTGGAAAATCCTTTTACGCTAAAAAATTATGCGAAAAGTTTGGGTTTCAATTAATTTGTGTTGAAAAAGCCATAAAAGCCTATTTAAAAATGACTAGTTTGATAAAGAATGCTAGATTAACATTGAAAATATTAAGTCAAGGGGATACATTGCCAGATTCTGTTCTAGTAGAAATTATTAAATATGCGATGCAAAGTACTCGGGCAAAAGTTCAAGGATATATAATTGATGGCTATCCAATTACAAAAACACAATTTGAACTTTTTAATAAATCAGGGATTATTTTTCATAAAATATTCAATATAATTAAATCATACGAACAATGTAAACACAATATGAAATATGATGATAATTTATTGAGATTATCTTCAAAAACGAAACATGATAAATGGAACAATATATTTGTTGGAAGCTTCTGGTTAGAGGACAATTTTGGAAACACTACAAGTCTAAGAGATTTATCTCAGTTAGAAAATGAAACTATGAAATGTGTGAAATCTTTACGCGAATATCATAAAAATATACATAATAACAAAGCATGTAGTTTGACGGATGTTCCAATAACAAAACGTGAACGTACGGAAAAAATGAGCTTGTTTCTAGACATTTGTCCAGTTTGCAAAGTAAAAGAAAATCGTTTAACTAGACCACAAAGTTCCTTAGCCTTAAAATCAAATTTAATACAATACGAAATGTACTTCTACTGGACATGTTCTAAGCACACACAGAAGTTTATAAAGGATCCAAAAAGATTTATAGAAAAAACGCCTCATGAACCAGTGCTATTGCCCATTGAGACTAATTTAAATAAATTAATGAATAACATTTTTGCAAACTCAGAAAATTTTTTAAAATATTGCGTAGTATGTGCATTATCATGTTTATGGGACCCAATATACAAACAAGGAAAATCAAATTTTTTGGTTACATATTCCAAATATTCGTTTGCATTATGTTCTCTAAAATGTAAAACAAAATTTATGGAAAGACCATTCTTATACAGTCAATACAAAATGCATGTTTGTGAACCAAAAATATGGGAATCATGTCATGCACAACTTTCAGTGAGCCAATTACCTTTACTAGGATATCTAGAACAAACTATTGCTGGCCCAAGTAGTTTAGCATTGAAAAAGTTGATAGCTATGAAACCTCTTTATCCAGGATTATCTGAAACAACATCAGCCATGGTTTTTTTAGGATTATGCATGGGAACATGGGTACAAGATGATGAAATAGCTAGCTATTATAAAAAATTATTTAACCTTTACATGGAAAGTGTTCAACGCTTCAAAATGCAAGTATTCAAATTAAAACTATTGACGTGACAATTTTCTTTTTTGATTTTTACAGTAACTTTTTTTAACTAAATATCTTAAGTCTTTTTAAATACTAAAAATACATTTTTATGTATACATAAATGTATTTCAAAAAATTTATTAGTGATATATTTGTTATAAAATTAGGTACTTTAAGTATTTTTTTTAGTTATTATATAAAATATTATACTATCTATATTTTATATTCAATAAAGTTAAATTTTTAATAACACACAAAAGAAATAATACAATGCATTCTTCATTGTTTTTTATAAATATATGTACGTTATAAACAGAAAAAAGTTATACAAATTTCGTAAAGATATTTAAATAAGAATTATACATTAGGGATGATTTAGTTTTATTAAATTTAATTTTTACCTAAAGCTAATATAATAAATTTAAAAAACACATATATTTTTAATTGTTTCATTGGCTGAAAAGTTTAAATTAAACATACTTTGACGATAAACAAATATTTTTTTTACTTGTACATTTCTTAAGATTACTTTTAAAGGTAACAATTTTAAAATACTACTTAGTAGTATCATTTTAACATAAAATATTTTATTAATCTTAATTTTTTAATTACTAAATTTTACGCACAGCGTTATGCCCGGTAGGTATTATTCAGTTTTTCTTAATTATGTATTTTAAATTATTTATTTTTAATATTGTATTAAAGATTACTGTTTTACATCAATCAAACATAATTTATTTAGAAATACAAGATAAATTTAATAATAACGAAGAATCGTATAGACGTAGGTTAACTAGACAAGTATCAATGCATACATTAATGGGATTTAATGAGCTGAGATTAAACGTCAAACTCTGTGATGCTTCATTGATTCTTGACAGTGGTGATATGTTTCCGGTTCATCGCTCAGTTCTTAGCGGGTCTAGTGATTATTTCCGGTAAAAAATAAAGTTAAAATATATAACCTAAACGTAATTTCAGTGACGGTCATTGATATATAAATTGAACTAAAAATTCATTAATTAGTAACTAATGAATTTTTGATTAATGATAAATAAATTAACCTTCAAAAATCATATTTTTTGAAATTATTACCTTTTTGTTTTTAAATAAAAATTCCTAAAATTGTATTTTACATATTATTTTTTATAACTTTTTAATACAATAAAAGCCTATGCTGTCCTTCATAAAGATAAGATTTCTTAACCCAAAAATCAATTTTGTAGTTATTTTACAAAGAACTTTTATTCGTAAAATTGTTTAATGATATAGTGTTATGATTCAACTATCCAATTTATTAATATTAAATATGATTAAAACTTATGAGATATTTAAAATATTGTAGTAAACTCAATTAATATTCGATTATAGTTAAAAATATTAAAAAACAGGTTAGGCACTATATAGTATCATTATATTTTTATTTGTAGAGTTCTTTTCACTACAACTTTACATGAAGGTGATTTTACACAGATAAATCTTAAATTAGTTGACAGTTATGCTATGGAATCAATACTTCAATATATTTATTTAAGACAAGTCGATATTACCTGTCACAATGCCACTGATATTATGAGGACAGCTGATTACTTGGGAATCGAAGGTTTAGTGCAACTTTGCCACGAATTCTTTACTGACATTCTATCTCCAGATAATTGTGTAACATTGTTACAATTTGCAGAGTATATTTTTAATCGTTACTATTATTTATTTATAGCACCATTATTTTTCATTTTTGGTTAAACATGATTTCCATTTAGCTATTTTTACTTTACGTCACTAAAAAATGTTGCTTATCGATACATCATAAGAGAATTCATGAATATAGCAGAAAAAAGTGACCAACTACTCCATCTAACTTATGAAGAATTTGGTAGAATAATTGAGGACAGTGAACTAAATGTTAAATACGAGGAGCGAGTTTGGGATAATATAGTGAAATGGGTCGATAAAGATCCCGATAAAAGAAAAGACGACATTGTATACTTGTTATCCAAAGTTCGTTTTGGGCTAATGGATTCTCAGTATTTTCTTGAAAACGTAAGAAAAATCCGTTATTTAAACAATTTATAGTATCTTATAATATTTAGGTGAAAGACAACTGTTATGTGAAAGGAAGAGCTGATTGTAAACCATACATAATTGAAACACTAAAATTTCTATACGACCTTCAATTAACATCAAACACTACCAACTCTATAGCACCTATGTTGGCTCGTCCTAGGTACCCATACGAAGTAATGTTTGCAATAGGTGGTTGGAGTGGGGGTAGCCCCACTGGCTTTATAGAAACATATGATACTAAGTCAGACCGATGGACCAGAGTATACGAAGAAGATCCTTTTGGGCCCAGAGCTTATCACGGCACAATTGTTATTGACAAATTTATTTATGTTATTGGTGGATTCGATGGACTAGATTATTTTAACTCGTGTAGAAAATTTAACACACTTACAAAATCTTGGGAGGAAGTTGCGCCAATGAACTGTAGAAGGTGAAAAAATACTGTATTTATATTAAATAATTGAAATAAGATATTAAATGACATATAAATAAATAATAAATTAGATGTTACGTCAGTGTTGCACTACTAGATGGCTACATTTATGCAATGGGAGGATATGATGGACATCATAGACAAAATTCCGCTGAAAAATTTGATTTACAAAGAAATCAATGGTCAATGATAGCACCAATGGCATATCAAAGAAGTGACGCGTGTGCTACAATTATGAATGGTTAATAAATAACTGAAAAACTTATTATTTTTCAAAAACAAAGTACAATTTAATTACAAAATATATTGATGCAACTAGGATAAGCAGTGAAACACTGCTTATCATTAGAGCATAATTATATCTAAATTATGGCTTTATATTATCTAATGCCTTAGATTCCTGTTTTTAGTTAAAATGCCACTCACGAAAAGTTAAGCAACCCAAGCTCTTTTTTATCCATTTTTCAAAATAATGTATTAAAGTCGAAAATTTATAAAAAGTTTTTTAATTAGATTTATATGACCATTTTTTAAGTTTATTATAAAATAGCAATAAAAAAAAAACACTACCTATTGTTTGAACCTAAAAAATCGCAAAACAATTTTATAACTTTTTAAAATTCATGCTGACAAAAATTCAAGATTGAGTGAACAAATGAAAAATATATCATTTGATAAAATTTGTTAAGCTTCAAAAAAACATTTTTAATATTCTATTACTGTCATAATTAACTTATAAATATATAACGGAAAAACAAAAAGTTGGGTTTTTTAAGTTTTTCATCTCCAAAACAAATTTAGAAAATGAAAAAAAAAAGTTAAACGTTTGAACATTTTTATTTCTATCTAAAATATTTCAAACATAAATAAAAATATTAATTAGTTGTTAAGAAAAATTTTAAGATTGAAATCATTAAATTTCTTGAGTATAATATCAAACTGGTTATTTAGTGTATAAAAAACCAAAATACTTATATATAAAGTACTTTTTGCAATAATGGGTTATATTTGTACTATTTTTCAATCTAGCATAGATTGACAAAAATAAGATATTTTTCATTTAAAAAAATTAAAAAATAATCAAAAATTTGGCCACGTTGCGTATAAACACTAAATTATTCGTAAGTTTAGGTTTTTTCCTGTTTTATCTTTTTATGCAGGGCCATCGGAACAATACTGCAACCATTTGCATTAGATATCGTAATATTGTGGGTGCTGATATTATGATTTAATTGGATAATAAATATAATATATGTGAAATAAAGATGAGTGTAGGTCATACTGTTTTTTTATAAAATTAGAAGTATTTATTTTTTCTACCTAGTCACTTTTATAAAAAAAATTCTTTAATATTTTATAACAGGTAAACTATACATAACCGGAGGATTTAATGGACAAGAGTGTATGAATTCAGCTGAAACATATAATCCAGCAACTAACGAATGGACGTTAATTCCTCCAATGCGTTCAAGACGTAGTGGAGTATCTTGCATAGCATATCACGGTTTTTTGTATGTCATAGGAGGTTTTAACGGAATATCACGAATGAATAGTGGAGAGAAGTTCAATCCCCGGACCAATACATGGTCTCCTGTGGTGAATATGAGTAATCCACGAAGTAACTTTGCTGTCGAAGTTCTTGACGACATGATATTTGTTGTGGGTGGTTTTAATGGAGTGACGACCATTGCTCATGTTGAGTGCTACAATGACCGGACTGATGAATGGTAAAAATTATTATTAATATTTAATTTATATAAGAGCACACAATGTGAATAATAAATGTTTTTTGATGAAAAGTAAAATCAATGTCACAGGTTCGAGGCTAGAAATATGCACATTTTTAGATCTGCGTTGTCCACATGCGTTTTAAAAAATTTGGATAACATCAAAGATTACTTACCGCCAGATAGAGACAGATTGTCGGAGGAAGGCCGAAGAAGCATTGAAAGGAACAGCAGACAAAATAATATAAACGTTGCTAACGACGACACGAGTAATGAAGTGGATGTGGCTGAAGAAAACAACAATGTCATAGTACTTGACCAAGCTGTTCAAGTAGTTAATTCTAACATTGAAACATACGATGACGTTAATACTAACGTTATCGACTGATAAGATCAATTAAGAATGTAAATTTAATATAAAAATCAAAATTAACAAAACAATGAAATGATGATTCACTGAATAACATAAACATTCGTACATTATTAAGTTATAATTAATTAGTCATGATTAACTCAGATTTCTCTAATCATTCACGTTTTAATATGATAACTTTTGAGTAAAAAACCACTGGGACTATAATCGGGACCAAATTTAGGAATTGCACAGTCTTATATACAAAATTCTGACACTATGAAAAAAAAGTAGCCTTTTAGTTTTTGTTCGTTTTGTATCACTTAATAATTTTACTTACGACGATTAACAAAAGAAAAGTAATAAAAAATCTCCCTAATTTAATTTAGTGCAAAATTATTTTTATAGCTAAATCAATAATTGATTTTTAATTATGACCTATACATTTTCAACATCATAAATATATAATTATTTTCAGTATGCCTGTACTATTTTTTATTAATTTGAATAATTCATGACTAGAATCAATTACATAAAGTAGCATATTTAAAGTTAAAAATAGTAAGGTTATAAATTCAAGCTAATATAATTAGCTATCTATTTAAGGTCTCATATATTAATGTAACACAACTTTTTCTTAAATTGACCAATGCATCAGAATATATTCACATTTTTGTAACTAGAAACGACATCTAATACGTTTAAGAAATGACAAATAATGAAAATATAGTTTAAAAAAACTAAAAAAACACGCTTTTAAAGCACATCGAACTAAAAAGTTAAAAATAATTTTTAAAATAAGTTTAAAATAATTATGAACAAAAAATACTAGTATTATTGTGATAAAAGCATCGGGCGCTCAATATACGAAAAATATGGCACAAAGCACCCACGCTTTTATCACAATAATACTAGTATTTTTTGTTCATAATTATTTTAAACTTATTTTAAAAATTATTTTTAACTTTTTAGTTCGATGTGCTTTAAAAGCGTGTTTTTTTAGTTTTTTTAAACTATATTTATTTTTCACTTTTTAGTTTTACGTTATGATAGTAGTTGCTATCAATATCATGGTTGTAACGGGTAACGGGAAATCAGGGTTCGATTCCGGGGAGGGTGTCTGAGAAACGGCTACTACATCCAAGGAAAGCAGCAGGTGCGTAAATTACCCACTCCCGAAACATGGAGGTAGTGACGAAAAATGACGATACCAGATTCATCCTTTGTAATCGGAATGAATGAGTTCTATATCTCTAAATAAGAATAAAGAGTATTAATATATTAGTTTTAATAGTAATTAGAATATATATATATATATATACATGTAAAGCGACTTAAGTACGTAAACGTATCATGCATTAGGTACAGTCGTGTTTTGTGGGCGGGCGGGTCGGACTAACGTTATACCTGAGGTATAAACGGCGGTAGGAATATACAGAGTGTTCAGTAAGTCAGGAAACGGGTTTCTATTGTTCTCATTGTTTGTAACAATGAGAACAATAGAAACCCGTTTCCTGACTTACTGAACATTCTGTATACGTAATGCACGTAATAAGCCGTATGCACGCGGATGATAATGGTCAGTCAAAATAAAAATTTGTTTATATATACAGGGTTATTATATATAATATTGATGACACGCACGTGTGTACGGGTACGATAACCAAAAATAAATTTATACAGGAATAGTGTTGTCGTCGAGTGGTGAGCGAGGCGTGGGGTGGGGTGAATGCGTTATGACAATCTAGTCTAGACGACGGAATATGCGATAACGCGTGGCGTTTGGAGAGTTACATACATACATACAGGTGAAACTAATATAAGCGTGTTAAAAAAGCAGCATCTGCGCTTCACCACCTACAGACTATATTTTAAAATGTTATTATCTTCGAAAATATTGGTGTAAAAATTATTATCAACCTATCACTTTTTTATTTTGTAAGATAATTTAATACATATTACCATTTAAAAAATAAAGTTAATACATCTATAAGATATTAGGGGTGAACATAAAAAATATTTTATAACAGATAAAGATACATAATTAACTACCAAAAATTCCAAAATAAAAATTGTTTGAAAAAATTGAGAAATTGAGTAGCTAGCGTTAAAAGAAGAATAACCTTCTATATTTCAATTTTAAATTTTATAAAATATCTACATGAAAATTCATAATTGCACTAAAATGCTACTACAAATTTACTACTTAAAATCAGTCATTAATTAATTACTTATATACATACTTTTAAAATATCTATGAGCACTACATAATAAATGCAGGTAATATTCGAGCATTTTATGTCATTTCACAAATATTAAAATAACTAGGACAACCAAACCCACTTAGTAATTAAAAGTGAACGAAAAAGATAACAATAGGTGATTCAGTATATATCTTAATAAATATAGTTTAAAAAAACTGAAAAACAAGCTTTTAAAGCATATCGAACTAAAGAGTTAAAAATAAGGGGGGAGTCCAAAATTCGTATCATAATTATAGTCTTTACTATATTTAGATTTTATCATTTGGTTAAAATGATGGCTAAAATAAAAGTAATTATTTTTTGATGAATTTAATTAAATAATCAAAATATGTGCCTTTACACTCAGTGAATGAGTCGACTTTTAATTTTTTCTTTTATTAAATTTACCATGTTATACATATAATATGGTATAATTAAATGGTTTATACAATTTAGTAAATGCAATTTTAATATAATCATTATTATCAAAAATAGATAACCTTGTAACTTGGAATATGTTGAAAAAAATTTAGTGGCGGGGGTACCAGGCCCGGGGAACCCCCTCAAATACGGCCTTGCCTGTGAATATCGTCATGAAAATCCAATTAGCTACTTGTATTTGTAATCCCTTACATATTATAATACATATATGTTAATTCAAAAAAATTTGAATCTTTAAATGTTTATATAATTAATAAAAAATAAAAATTTGTTATATTTATAATATCGATGACACACATGTGTGTACGGGTACGATAACCAAAAATAAATTTATACAGGAATAGTGTTGCCAGCGTAAGGTGAATGCGTTACGACAGTCTAGTCTCAAGGCCATAGACGACGGGATACGCGACAATAATAATACGTGGCGCGTGGAGAATTAGAAACATACTTACATACAGGTGAAACTAATATAAGCGTGTTAAAAATCATGACCATTTTATTCAAAACATACAATAAATTTACATTAATAATTTTAATGAGAAAAAAATTTTTTACAATAAGTAAAGAATATTATAAATATATAAAACAAGATAAATTTTAGATTTTTATGGATAGTTACAACAATACAGGTAGTTCAAAAACAATCAGCTTAAATAATGTAAAATCTTAATGAATAACTTAACATAATTAATAAAATATCATTGCTATGTTCAATTTCATTTGTAGAAAATTAAAAGCTATTAGATACCATCACAAATTAAACAGCATTAAAATGTTTTAATACTTAAGTGTAAATAAATTAAGTTCCTAAATGAATAATTGTTATATACATCTAAAAATACTATAAAATAATAATTTTAACTCATTGCAAATTACAGTATAGATAATTCTACACAATAAGTTAAATATTAAGAAAAATAATTGTAATTTTATATTGGCTACAAATATTAAAGTTAAACAGGTGATGGCTGATATGAATAACCAGGATACTGAGGTTGATTTGATGGGGGAGCTAAAGGTCTTTGAGGATATTGTTGATACCCACCAGGTTGACCAGGTGCTGGATAACCTTGTGGATATCCTTGCGGAGGAGGTTGATTGTATCCCTGCTGAGGTGGATAATTCTGAGGAGGTACAGGTTGTTGATTGGGACCGCTATTTGGTGCTGGATATGGCTGAGCATTTTGTTGTTGTGGAGGAGGATAATTTGGTTGGGGAGTTGGAGCAGGCTGCTGTCCAGTTACTGTATTAGGTACTGCTTGATTAGGAGGTGGATAAGTTTGTGTTGAGGCTGATGGAGCAGATTGTGTAGTTTGTGAAGGTGCATATGTATTTTGAGGTGCATTTCCATAACCAGAATATGATGATGGTTGATTAGATACAGACCCATATCCACTACTAGAACTAACAGGCTGTTGACTATAACCAGCTGGTGGGTAGTTGGGTGGAAAATTTTGTGGTTGAGGAGCAACAGCATTTTGAGGATAATTTCCAGGTTGCTGATTTACATAAGGAGCATTTTGCTGATATTGTTGAGTGGGTGGACCACTTCCATAATTTTGATTAGGATAATTAGAACTAGGTACTGGTTGCTGGTGACCATATCCTTGCCCAGGATAAGGCTGGTTAGGAGGTGCTTGGCTGTATACATTAGCAACTCCAGGTCCACCTGTTTGACTAGAACCAATTGTATTTCCTTGAGTAGATGCAAAATTTTGATATCCTTGTTGTCCTTGATACTGAGGTGTTGGTCTATATTGTTGAGTAGGTGTAGGAGGCCCTTAAAAATAAATTATATGTATATTATTATTAAAAGTTTACATAGATTTAATAATTAATAAAAGCAGAGAACTACATAGAATTAAACAATAATAAAAAATTCTATTTGCAAACAAATTATTAACTATAAGATATAATACATAATAATTTATAATTATAAAAACATAACCTCTTAGACACACTAAAAGTAAATTACTCTGAAAAAAAAATTATTTTGTATAGTTAAACTGATTTAACTACTTATAAGCTTATTTATTATTAAAATTTAATTTTAGTGAATTAAAAACTCGGATAAGTAATAAACATAGAACAAGAATATACATAAAATCAAACTTATATAGGTTTCATTAATAATTAAGCACTTATTTTAAATTATAATTAACTATTTAAAATATATTATCATTAATTAAAACTACCAATACAAATAAAAAATATTTTATTTTTCTAGTTAGGCTGTAGAAATTTACAGCCAATTCTGAGAGCTTGAATTTTTGTTTATTTGAAATTTGAAATTAATTTAATGAGAACAAAAATAATAGATTAATTTTCTTTGTAAATGTTCTTAACGTAAAACAATGATATAATAGAAAATTTAGTAAAACTTTCATTGTCTTTTAAATAAAATACATACTCATAGGGGCAATAGGTTGTTGTGGTCGATAACCACTAGGCGGTCCACCTTGTCCTTGAGCAAACACTTGATTCATAGTTGGCTGAGGTGGACCAGGTTGAGGTGGCTGTTGCATTACTTGAGAGTTTTGGCTATCTTGCCCACTCATCATTGATGATTGAGGTTGCTGTTGTTGTTGTTGTTGTTGTTGTTGTTGTTGTTGCTGCTGCTGTTGTTGTTGTTGATGCTGTAACTGTTGTTGCTGTTGATGATGTTGTTGTTGCATGTGCGGTTGTCCTTGAACTTGCATATTTTGTTGTTGATTTACATTTGGAGGCTATAATATAATGAATTAAAATAAACTACTAATTAAATAGTAATAATAATAATAATACTAACAGGTAACAAAGACTGAATATTTTGATTTGAATCTGCTACAGAAGCCAAGTATACTAAATTACGATGTAAAATTTGCTGAAACCTAGAATATAATGACTTCATTAATATCAATTTTTAAAAAATTTAAATAAAGTAAATAATAAATAAAACTGAAAGATAAATTTATTGTCCAGAAATTTTCAATATAATACATATAATAATACAATAGAAATCTAGTAGAGTCGAAACAAGATTACAATAACTTTAAATAAAAACATTTTATTGTAGATCAAATCATAAACAAGACCACATTTTTTGATATTTTATTTACCTATGAGACTATCTTACAATTTATGTTTGTTCTATAAATATTTTAAAGCTTTCATGGAAAATAATACTTTGAATTATCACAAATATATTGTCGTCATCATGACAAAAGTGATCAAGTGCAAAAACATGTTTAAATTCAATTTTTCATCCCTATAAATGTGTGGAAAAAGTGTCCAAGTGATATGAATAGATTAGGAACCTCTTAGGTACATCATTTTGACTAACTTGACTTTTAGCATAAATTGAACAAGTAAAAACTGACTATGTTAATTGGTCATTTTTTTTTTTTTTTTGCGAGTAGAAATAACAACTTTTTTGTCCAAGTGTCAAGTTGATCACTTTTTGTAAAACTATAAAAATATTTTTTTCCACGTGACCATATGGCCATATCTAAAATAAAATCTAACATTGAAAAACTCCCTACAATGGAATCTCACAATTGCAGAGCAACTTCTAAACGTAAATACTTAGATTCTACACTGTCTATATCTAAATTATAGGAGCTCTATATACAAAATTGTAAAAAAAAAAAAAATTAGATTATAATTATTTTGTTTGTTGTACCGTGTATCGAAAAATATTTTGTGAGCAATATAATTTGATTTTTTATAAGCCAAAAAAAGATCAATGTCTTCTATGTGAAAAATTTAAGAAATCAGACAAAACGACATAAACAACAAATATTAATGGCGTATAAAAATTATACTTGAAGACGGGATGAATCGTTTACAGTTAAAAAGTTTGACAAAGAAAAAGTTTCAAACTGCAATAATTTTTTTATGGAATGAAGTAAACGGGCAAAAAGGAAGTTCAGAAATTAGTACAGCTTTACTTAAATGGATCAAATAGCTCCCAGTAAATATAACAAATATTTTCCTATTTTCTGATACTTGCAGTGGTCAAAGTAGGAATCAATATATAGCAGCTTTATTCTTATACATTGTCACACATTCAAAAATTGATGATATAACACATAATTTTATGGAGAGTGGACAGTATGTATAGCACAATTGAGACAGCAAAGAAAAATATTCCTGAGTATACTATGCATGACTATATAGGTATAATAAAAAATGATCTAGCTACATAGTTCAAGAATTGAAGTATACTGATTTTCTTGACTTGAAAAGTTTAGCAAGTTTAATAATAAAAACCATACAACTAATACACAAGGTATTAAAGTGAATTGGTTAAAAATTAAGGTTTTAAAATATGAGAAAACTGAGCCTGGTGTTATACAGTTTAAATATAACTATTCAGATAAAGAGTTTAAAAGTATACACGTAAGTGGAAGAGGTAAACCAACAAAATATCCTGATAACCTTAAACAATTATATGACAAGCCAAGACCAATTTCAATATTGAAAAAGAAGATCTCATGAAACTTAGTAAGACTGAAGCCATTTCTGTAGAATTCCATAAGTAGTATCAAAGTATTCAGACATGTTCAAAACAAAAGGATACAGTGATAATTTCTGAGTCTGATTAATATTTATTTTAAGACTGATTAAAATAAAATAAGATACTGTAGTTATATAAAGAACTTATAAGTTATAATTTTTATAAAGTTTGTAATAAATATTATAAAAGTAATTTAAACTTTTTATTTAAAATTCTAAAAATTGCTCATTAATATTATAATATTATTATTAATTAAGTTTTTTGATACACAACGTTCTTCTAATTGATTAGAGTTATGATAATTACTAAAATATTTTGTTTATGTTTGTTATTTTAACGTTGTTTATTTTAAAGTATTTAAAGTAAAGGTATAAAAAATATTATGTTTTATTTTAATGTTTATAAGTTTTTTAATTTAAAAGATGTTTTTTATGTCAAAAAAAAAGTTTAATATTGTATTTATTTTAATTGTGATGGTAAAAATAAAGTTTGTTATGTTAAAAATTTCAATAATATATTAACTCGATTGTTTTAGGAAAATATGTAATGACTAAATTAATCATAATATAATATATTATAAGAGTATAAATACATTTTACATGGTTAATTATAAGGGTTCAAGTGAAACATTGTCACATGGTCACTTTTTACTCTAAAGTTAAGTTGGTAAATTACATTTAATTAACTTAAATAATAACTAACTAGTAAAATTTTGTACCATATTGGTAAGCATATTATTATTTTGGTTTTATTGATATCAAGTTTGTTAATTTTTGTTAAGTTTTGAATTTTTTAACCGATGTTAAACATTTAAACTAGTTATTCTCAAAACTATAAAAAAACACTTTTGGCATGATGGCGACGATATATATATACCTGTCTTCAGTTTTATGCTTATGTTACATACTTATTACAGTGATCATCTACAGAGTCAGAGTAGCAAGTCCAAGGTTGTAACTAACCATATTGTCTATACTATACTATATAGTCTTGTCAATATAATGATATTAAAAAAATTGTCAATTTTGAAAAAACTTACTGTACACATTCTTGTGCTTTTCCTTTACTTTGGAAATCTTGAATAGTTTGAATTAGTTGTGCATTTTCATCAAGTATCTATAAATATAAGTTTATTTGCAATTAAGTATAAATAAAAATGTACCCAGGAAAAAAATAACAATCAAAACTCTTACATGAAAGTAAATATATTTTAAAGACAAACTTTTGTATCAGTTGAAGGTAGTAAATTCCAGTGGTTAATAATTTAAATTGTCTTACAGTTTTAATGTAGTAAATTAAATAGTAGATGTTACCAACTCTGATCATTGGGATCAAGCTTAACTGAACATCATTTATAATTTTCAGACGAAAAATCTTTATAACACCATTCAACAAATTCAATATGATATTTGATTTTACTAGTTCAATTTTTAAACCAAATCACAAGAAAAAATTTCGGTTTAATTTTTGAAAATAACCAAACACCCCAAGCCATATAAAAATCTATGTCACGTTTTTTTCAAATCTACATGTGATTTTCATTTATTGATTGCAACTTATGTAGTTCACTTAAGTGAAACACTGAAAATAAATTTTATTAATTTGGTATATTTTTTTTTACTTAAGAATTTTTCAATATTTACTATTTATTTTGATTTGTAATAAATTAATTTCAAAGAGATTTTATCACTAGTTACCCTCCCCTGACTTTTTACTAGGTCAATTTTCTTAATTGTTGTGTATTATAAAATTTTTTTAATTGAAAAACTAAATATTATTTTTATTAAATTATATTATGAATACCCTGATTAAGAGCACTGTTTTTAAAGAATAATGACATGTAGGTTTAGTTTTTATTTATTAAATTTATAATTTTTATTCTGCGAAGCCTATAGGCCTATTTATTCAAATAAAATTTTTAAAGATGCTAATTTTATTTTCTCCCTACCCTTAAAAACACTATATACATGTATATAACATGTATAATTTTTTGAGAAGCTAATTTGTTAACTAAGATTCTTCTAGTTGTATATTTTTTAATACTTTACATTAATGTTTCTATTTTAAAGTAACCTGATGAAGAAATACCAAAACTTAAATAGAACCAATAAAAAAATATTAAACACTTAATGGCCTTATTCACTGTTTTTTTTTTTTTTAACAAGATTGATAAAAATAATTTACAAAATCTAAAAAAAAATGATATAAATAGAGATGTTACTTGGCAAAATCAAGTATCTCATTTTTTTTTTCATCATTTAAAAACACATTTAAGATAGATGTGAAAATTTGACATTTTGTAAAAAATCTACGTTATTTCATATTTTATATAAATTCATATTTTTAAATTAAATATACTTATTATTTATTAAAAAGTATAAATAAATAATGAGTGTAAATTTTTGCATTTGTCACTCAAAATATTAAATTCAAAATTCTCCTTAAAGAACGCAACATTTACATTGAATTTAACTTACGTTTTGATATGGTCAATTATTCGTTATTTGTAATATAGATTTATTATCACATTTTTACATAAAACCACATATTATCCTATGTTAACTGATGAAAATGTGGGAGGCTATCTCTTAGCTTGTAAATAATTTTAATTTATAAATTGTAATAATTTTTATAACGTAACTACCTTTTGAATTTGTAATGTAGGTGGCATTCGGCGATTTTGGTTGAAAGCAGTCGCAGTGGACGCCATTGTAAATGTATTGAACGTTCGTGGACCGTTTAAATGACAAACAAATAATTAGTTTGTATCAAATCTTCTTAATACGTGAATTTTGATCCCTTCTGATATATATAGTAAATACTTTAAAATGTATTTAGTTCAATTAATTTGTTGTTCTTCGAGTAATTGAACGTTACGCATTAGTTGTAAACAAGAGAGTATAAAAAATAATAGAACCCCATTGACAACAAATATTATATTCACGTGAACGACGCGTACCACAACGCCGGCTAACCAGAACGTATATCAACTTAACTAAGTGAGAGCGCCATCATAGATCTTATCATAATTTTTTTTTTGATAAATAATTAAGACGATAATAATCGATCAAACAAATTTTGAATAAACGTTAATATATTTTATTGCGATCTATGAGAAATTTCTCAATCACAATTGTAAAACCATTATATCGTTTAATAGTTTTTAAATCCCTACTGGATTTAAATATCCAATAAACAAAATTAAATTTTAAATAGAAAATACTTTAATTAATCTTTTTTAATCTAGATAAATAGCCTTAACTTTTGAAAGTGATAAAATCGAATTGTTATTAGTGAAACCTAAATATTTAACACTTAGTACATCTAGTTAGATGTTAATAAGGTAGTTAATTAACAGTTATAAAGATTTTTTTTTAATTAAGATACGTTTTTAGAAATTTATAAAGTTATAACATTATATACTAGTCCAAAAGTATCACCTTGAATAGAAATTTAGGGTAATAACATTTTTTTATTTAATATGAATTTACCTACACCAAAGTAAACAATTGTTTAATTCTTAACTCTATAAAATAATTTCATAAAATATTTAAATTCTTGTTGATATTTTTTAAATTTTTTGTGCTGTATTTAATGTATCCATAGTAAAAAAAAATTAAGAATATTCTCAATTATTATTGTAATATCCATCAAATTACTTTAAAATAATTGGTTGTAAATTATAAGAAAAGTACAATGCCATAGAAATTGTATTATGTACCAATCTGATATAAAAAATGCTCTATAGTTTTAATATAATTTTTTATCTAAGTCATGATTACTGTGAAAAAAAATTATAATAATAAAACAGTCTTAAAAGGTAGTATGGTATTCAGCCATAAAATAAGAGATAGTGATTATCAACTATATGAAGTACATAGACTGAGGTTGCAGTGCCCACTTTTTTAGTACATTTACACAGTAGTGCAGTGGTTACTGAATAGAGTTGAATAACGTAGAACAGTAAGGTACATAGTAATGAAATAATCTCAACTGTTGTATACCTGGTGACATCTGTAATTCTTATATCAGTGTTCAAATTATTTCTTCTCAACTGCAATTTATCTTAAGAGCTTAAATAGAGACAACAAAAAGATGAGTAATTTTTTTATCTCCTGTCATAGATTTTAATTACTAGAAGTGTATTAATTGTTTTTAAATTAAGCTTATATGAGTAGTCAAAATAATTAATATAAATATAAAAGTAATTAATTTCTCGTATTTTAAGAATACACATATTTTAAAAGTCCTAGAAGCGAGGCGTTCTAGCTGCTCCTGATGCTATTTGTGTTATATATATTCCGAGCGAGACAACCATACTGCTGCCGGCGTTATTCAAGTTACACACTCCTGGAGCAAGTCGTTTATGTCGTTGCTAGTACCACTCGAGGAAGAAGTCCCCAGAGCAGAGCTGTATTAACGCACATGCTACTCAGGGTTACTTAACATACATGAAACCATATTCTTACAATTCATCATACCAATTAAATAATCATAAATTATTTTAATAACATTATTTTTTTAAACCCTCAAACCATGATTCTGATGATATAGTTTATAATTAATTATATGTAGTAATTCACTCGTGCTCTACCATATTTACTCCTTTTACAATATGTCTTTATTTTTATATTTTAACATTACAATAATAACAAACCTTTTGATAGATATACATTTTTATTCTTTATTTTTTTATTATATGTTGAATCACTACATTATAGAACTCATTTTATTTCTTGAGTAAATAATTTTTATAAGTTGTAGAGTAGTAAAATTAAGGGCTTTAACATTAGACTCAGAATCAGATTATTTGGTTTTAAGAATTATAACAGTTCATAAATTCAACAATAAGATATTTCTACATTAACATTTAAAATGTATTAACTTATTTCATTTTGAAATCTGCAATTAAAGCTAAGTGATCAGATGGAAATTTAGCACTTGGTAGGCCACCTTCTTCAATAACTTCTTCATGCAAAGGCATAGACAATGTCTGCAAAAGAAAATATAACCCTAAATATTATTACATAGTAAAATTATTATAACCCTTAGGCACAACTTCAAATTTTTCTTAGAAGGCTTAAACATTTACATCAAACAGACTAATAGGAGTTACCATTCTACTTCCCCATATCAATTCCAAGATGCCTGTGTTTATATTTAACCACAATAAATTTTCAATAAACCTCAAGTAGATTTCTATTTAAAATGTATAAAAAGCTTTTCATTAAAAATATAAGTTATTTACTACCACTAATATACAATAAATTAACTTCATTAAAAAATTCATAATATTTTATGTTAGATACACTTTATATTTAAGTTGGTAATACAGCCTGTCTGATATGCTATGTTACTTATTTGAAGCTTGGTCTTTCACAACTTTGTTTGCAAAGGGAGTGATCAATTCAGTAATTAGAGTTATCCTCTATACAGCTATAAACTAACCACCTAACACAGATAGTTATGAATCCTTCTCATTTGAGATGGTCATTTTGACCCTTCACAAGCCTTTAAAAATTGAAATTAATAATAATAAAACTCATCCAGCAAAAAACATTTTATAATACAAAAATTTACAAATTGTAATTTTTATAACTAGAGAAATCCTTTAAAACTATTACATAATTTTTTGAAAAATGTTTACCAATAATTTAAGAAACTAAACACATATACAATAATAAAACATTTTCTGTATGTGTAATAAAAAATAAAAAGTCTAAATATTGTAAAAACAGATGGTTACTATGAAAAGGTTAGTCAAGTCAAATTTTATCTATTTTAACTAAATCATCAATTTTAATGTACATTTTTCACTTCGTTTTAAATTATTACATAATTAAGTTATTTTGAGTATTGAAATTTGAATATAGAAAGTCCATATAAAAATATTTTATTCTTGCTGAAAAATTACCAATCTAATTTACTTATACCTTTAAAAATATCAATTTTGTTAAAAATTCTATTAAACAAATTATTTTTAATATTAATCGTTTTTAAATTCTAATAAACATAACAACTTTATTATTTATACAATTTTAATGATAAATTTTTAAACACATTATTCTTAAATTTCTTATTTTATTAACTTTATTGTATACTAGGCACCAGGAACCCTTAATACAAAAGCCACATATAACTCCCACAATATATTTTTAAAAATCTAATTTTATAACTCCATTTAGAATATTCAAAATTAAAAAAAAATTAAACTAATGTAAGCTATATATTCATTAAATAAATCTTTGTAGCAATAAATTACAAACTTATATTATATTTAACATTTTATCTTCTATCTATTTTATGATTTAATATAAAACTGAATAAAATGGCCCAATAAATTTGCCGAAACGGTTGTACATACATCATAAGTGTTCTCACTAATGACATATGAGGATAGAACTCCCTTATTTTTTTCAATTTTCTGATAAAAAAATATAATGAAAGGGTGGTAAAATTTTTTTTCATACATATCCAGAGAACACCACTAATATTGATAAATATTTAAATTGCTTATTAATAAAACATCATAAGCCAATTTTTATAAAATTTTGGATTATTGATTAAAAATATACATCTTATACAATATAGAAATAAATTGCATTTCAATAATGACAATTTATTGAGTATTATCATCTACTTATTATGTATACTTATTAAAAATAAATAAATTGTCCACGAGTTAATAGCTCGCCAAGTCTTGTGACTTGTAAAGTTTTAATAACCAACCTACAAAAATCAATGTTATTTTAATGGATAGAAAAAATTCTTTAATATACATTATACATTTTTGAAAATTAATGAAGTTATATATTTGAAAAAATTAATTTTTATTTAAATAGCTCATTTATATAATGTAATGTAAAAAACTTTATTATCAGACACCAATTAGCTTGAAATAGTGGTGTTTATTTAAGTTATTATAAGTACAATTTAATATGTAAAAGTAATCTATATTGATTAAAAGTCAATATTGGTCATAACACTAGCAATTGATTTCAGGTTTCATTCAGGTCATTTTGTTTTCAATCATGCAACTTTTTTTTTGTAATTTTTCAAATTATTGAAAATTACACTCTTAACAAATATACATAAGTAAATATAGTTTAAAAAAAAACATTGACGTTTTTGTAATTATTATTTTATTCACTTCTTATAATAAAAATTATAAAAGTTAAACTAACCTGAATTACATCTAAATGTTCATTTGTAAAATAAATATAATCCAATAACCCAGAAAACGTTTGTGTAAAATTACTATATGGTACATTAGTACTATAAGCACTTGACATAGTAAAATCAACAACATTCTTTAAATTGTTTAAATGATTCAAATCTCCTAAGATTAAACATTTTGTTAAAAATATTTAAGTATAATAATTGAGTAAAATTAACTTACTATACTCAAATGGTAAGAATAAATTAGTAACTAAATCAAAAACTCCACTTTCTGGTGTACTATTAAAATCTCCACAAAATATAACAGACAATTTTTGTTCTGGATACTGCAAACAAATTTATTAAAATCACTATTAGGATGAGAGTTTTTAATTGTTATAAAATATTTCAGTAGATTAATTTCAATCTAAAAAAATAGTAGACTAAAATTATTTAGGAAATAAACTAATAATTTAGGTTTTATACTTTCAACAAATATTACTAAAGTTTGATTAACCTCAATAGTCTTAAGTAAATAGATTTCAGAAAATAAGAAAGTAAAAATAAATTAATATGAATAATTTTATTATATTGAGATTGAAATATAGAGGAATGTGTATTAGAATGGACTCATATTTTATAGTTCTTATAAGAAAATCATTTAGCTACAACCATTTAAAATTTAGTAAGCTATTATAATAATCATAATAAGTATTATTATATAAAATTATAAAAAGCTAATATTTTGACATACATTTTAGACCATTTTGCTTTTAACAACATTATTATTACTTAATATATTTTTTCATGGAAATAAAAAAAAATTGAATATTTGGGAATGATATATATCTATATATAAGATCCTATTAAGATATGTTTTTAACTGTTAGGTTGATTTTTAAAGATTGGACTAAAGTAAATTTATATTATATAATTCTCGAGAGTTAAAATAAGAATTTGATTTATTTATGTGTAAGTTATTATATATAATAATAAACGGTACTAGATATAGTTTTTTTCCTATTGAAAAATGTTTTTTATGTGAACAATAAATAATGAAGTAAAATTGCTTTTCACTATAAAAAATATTTTTGTTTAATCTTATGTAATTTTTTGCTATCAATTTTTATTTAAAATAATATTTACTTGATTTTCAAAAGTTTTTTTTAATTTTGTAATAATAGTTAATTCTACCAATGCTTGTAGCAAACGTACACAATCGCTATCAGCATCTGATATCAGATGAGTATTACAAACTAAAAGAAGTTTATTTTCTAATATTTTCCTCAGAAGTAAAACCTATAAAAAAGGAAGCATTTGATTAATTTTACAAGTTTTATTCTAGTATAAAATACATATTAAATTAACCTATAAGTCTAAAGGTATTAAGTTTTTTAAACAATATTTAATACATCCACTAGAAAACTAAAAATGTATTTATATGTAATGTATATATAATATATATACATTATAAAGATTATGATCCTTTTAATGTTCACCATTCTATTTTTCTTAAAATAATAACTTTTTTGTGAATTTTTTTTTAGCTTTTGTTAGTTATACAGAGTGTTTAGTAAGTAAGAAAATAGATAAATTGTTACAAACAATGAGAACAATAGAAAACCGTTTCCTTACTTATTGGACACTATATATGTATACCTTTTATCTGTTATGAAATATTTTTTATGTTCATCCCTTATGTCATATAAAGATGTCAATTCCTCCCAAATCTTTGGGAGATCTAATTTAATTTCTCCTCCTAAAAAATTATTTCAACAAGATGATTCTTTTAACATTAGCCACTCGATTTCTCTTCAAATAATAATTATGTTAATAAAATAATTTTTGGTATCTTTTATATATAGATTTATCAGTTATTAATTACTTTTTTAATTCATCCCTTATATCTCTTAAACATGTCAACTTTTTATGTAGACAAGAAGAGGAGTGAGCCCAAGAAATGTCGAGTAATAAAATTAGCAGCATCCACTCGTTATCTCCAGACATTACTTTAAATTGTTAATAACATCTGTAATACTAGTCTAAAAGTTGTTATCAACTAGTCATTTTTTTAATTAGATTATTTTATAAGCTAGTTAAATATGTATTCTATCATTCAAAAAATAAAGTTGACACCCTTACAAGACATAAAAAATATTTTAAGCAAAAGACAAGTAGAGATTCAGTAAAATGGAGTTGAAGAAATTTTTAAATTACTATTGATTGATATCTAACAATAAATAAAATTATGTAAACATTCTATTGCTATTCAAAATATTACAAAATTGGTTAATTAAACAAAAAATGATATGATCTTTTTGGCATAAATATGATATTTTTTTTAATTTATCTACATTAACATATGTTAGGGGCTTAGAGACTTAACTCCTTCAAATTACCAGAAAAACTATAAATCTTAAATAAAAATAGATACATAGAGGAAAAAATTAAAATAAATTACATAATCTTATAAGATACATATATACAAAATTTGTATTAAATTAATTTAATTTAATTAAAAATGTAAAGTTGATACCTTTATAAGTATTATCTACATGGATTGATCCAGAATTTTTTGAAATGGGACACAAAAAATGTTTAATGCCAAAATCATTTTTGGCTTATTTTATTGTTGAATAGGTAATGATAGATCAAAAGGGGGCATACATCTCCTGCATCTTATCCTGAATTTGTTACTGAATAAATGTATAATAATTGATAAATCTAAGAAAATGTACCTATTAAAAAAAAAAAATTCTAAGCATAACTTTTATTTTATTAGAAATAGAGTGGGTTTGATAAATAAATCACCTCATATGTTGAATATAGTATATATATATATGTTTAGATTTTATAAAAATTGTTAACAGTCTATTTTTAACACTATGGATTATGTGTTTTTGCATTTAATTTAAATCCCGTCGCAACTCATATAGTAAAAATTTATTGTACACATTCAAATTAATGAACTTGTACAAATGTATTCATTTCAAACTTTGTTTTGTGACTATGGTACGTATACCACAATCTATTAAGATTTTGCTGCATTAAAAAATTATTATACCCCACTAAGATATATTATTTCTTAAAAATTAATTTAAAATAAATATTGATTTTAAATTCTAGATACTTATTTTTATAAATATTATTTTATATAAACTCAAATGGTAGAAGTCAGACTAATGAATTTTGCAATAAACAAACCAAGAACATTCAAATTCATACATAATAAGAACTAAGTTCATGTTTAAGTTTATTTTCTAAAATTTGAACATGTTAAAGCATAGTTTATAAAATATGAACTATATATAATATATTCATTAATATGTTCTTTCTTATTACTGATATTTATATTACTGAAATCAAAATAATAACTTGTAAAACTGTTTTTTTTTCAAGTCCTTGTTTCCATATATTATCTTCATAAATAGCATTTATAAATGGTCCACAATACATTTCAATGGTGGGGCGGTCATTTAATTTAATACAGAATTGGTCCAACAATCTAAAAATAAATATAATATAAGTTAATTATCTAATAAAAAAAAACACAAGGATTACATACTCAAATTTGTCAGCTGAATAAAAACAACTAAGTCCTTCATTCCTATTTCCATCTTTTTTACAATGTACCCCATTTAAATTTAAGAAATTTTTCAATAATGGGTCTAATTCTCTATTGAATAATTTTACTTCAACTTCTTGCAGGCACAATATATCTGCTTTATATGCTGTTAAAAATATGCAACATCACAAACTTAGGTTTTTTTAATTAGCGGAGGAAAAAACTAATATATAGTAGTAGTACATCAAACAAAATTTATAATTTTAAAATTTTCTTTAACAAAAATGGAACATTTCTTTTAAAACAAAGGAATAATTATAAAAGTAAAAGTTTTAAAATTATTGTGAAATAATAAGGAGATAAAAATTATAATCTTTTATATTTATTTTTAAGCATTTGTAATCAAACAATTGTTTTAAATCTAAATGAATCAGTAAACATATTATTTATTGATAAATTTTTCTTTTAATATCTTAAAAAATAAAAGCATAAACCATAACTTTTTATAAGAGCAAAAAATATTTTTTATAAATATACATTTTTTTATACATTTGTCATATAGGTTTTTTTTATTTTAGCTCCATTTTTTATTGTTGAATATTACCTTGTAGTTCTTTTACTAGAAGAGGGTTTCGGTAACTTGAAGCTAATATATGAGCTGGACAATATGGATACATTTCATTTTTAGCTTCCTTAGTTTTAGTATAATCACCAGCTAATATATTATATGAAATGATACGAAAACTATAACATAATGTAGTTAATTTATAATCAAAACAAACAAAATCCTCAAAAAAATTAAACTATTTGAGCAGGTGGACAAATTCACCTTAATTTTATCTTGCAACTATTTCCTTTCAGGAACATATTAGGAAATTTATAAAAAAATTATTGACATTATGCATAATAAAAAGTTCAAAAACATTTTATATCAGCATAATATTACCAATGGGAAGATTCTCCCATTGGCCATACACTCTAAGGAATATATTCTACCTTCTAGATACGCTACTATTTCCTTCTGAATTATTTTCTCTTAAATATATTTATATTTAATAATACATAAAATTAGATTAAATGAAAGGTTTCACAAATTATTTTAATGTTTTTTTAAATACCTGTTTTTTGGCTTCTTAATTAGTCTTTTTTCAAATGGATAAATGTCTATCAAATTATCTTGAACTTCTAAAGATAATACCTCAACTGATGGGCCAAGTTGACCTTCTAGATTGCATGGTTCACATAACAGTTTTAATTTGCAATTTATATCACTAGAAGATGGTGTGTATGCAATTTCATTTCCAACCTCAATAAATTCTTTTGATTTCATTCTATACCATGTGTATTTACTATTCAAAATAGACACATTATATCCTTTATCAAATCCACAGGGATATAACATTAAACCTTTGTATGGAGGTTTACCTAGTACTAGATTATTTATAATTGGAGCATTGATCATAACAGACAAAAAATGATTATTAATTTGCAAAGAAATGTTCACATTTTTGTTATCAAATATTTCACCACATTTTGTATCCTTAGGAACTTTTTGTCCATTGACTTTTAAAGATATTAAATCTAACATTGGTTCTTGAATACCCTTTTTACTATTTATTCGTTGTATTTTAAGTGCAAATCTTTGTAAAAAAGTATCTACAGTGTCATCTGGACTACGACACATATTCAATTGTTTAGTTTTATTTTTATATGTTATCAAAACTGCTATCATGAATTTTTTTTCTAATTCACCAGGTGGAAGTACAGAATTAACAAACATTGTATTTTCCCAAAGAAGAAGTTTAAATAAAGACATACTTCTTTTTATACAATTAAAACTATTAACAAATTTCATAAGTTCCTGAAAAAAGTACACAATATTACTTAAAGTATTTAATTTACTACTATGCATTATAAAAAAGATAAATAAATTTAAATGTAAAGAGTTATTTTTATTTAAAATGAACTGAATAAAATTATTGAAGCTACTACCACAGAAATCTTATATGTACTACTACTTTCTAAATAATAATTCATAACAAAGTAACATAATATGTGAAATGATTTCATGGTAAAACTAAATGACTTATTAAAAATATAAGTAAACGGGCTAATAAAATGCTCTGTAGATATAATTTCCTTTTGAAAAATATAGATATCAATAACTATGTTATAACTTTGTTGTTAACAGAATGTTACAGTGTAGACTTATGATATTTTTGAGACCATTACTTTTTTATGACATTGTTTTAAAAAATATGTTGTTTTATCAATTTGCTATTAATTTTTACACATACTCTAAAATACCACATGTAAATCGTTTACAACATTACTTTTAAAAAATGTATTTAACAATACCTATTTAACACATTTTAATAAAAAAATTATTTACTTACCAATTTATAAGCATAGGTTACTAGAATATTTAAATTGTGAAAACTAATACAATTCTTGCAAATTTATTATACGTAACATGATAGAATAATAAGTTTAAAAATAGAACCAATATTATTCATTTTAATTAGAAAAATAAAATATTAAAATTTAATGAAATTTTGATTTTTTCTATTTAGAAGCATAATATATTATCATTAACTTTTTCAATGACAAGTAAAATTGATACTAAAATCACAGAGAATCACGATTACAGATAACAAAAACAGGTTACTGAATAAGAAATGTTTTTTGTGAAATCAGTGTCACAGGCACTTATCATGCGAGTTATACATATAGCGCTTCTAACGAGAATTTAGTGAAATATTCAGTTATTCACTTAGCGCTATACGTTATACGATAATTATTTAGTGCTTGTTGAGGGGATCATTATTAATAATATTTGAAAAGTTTACGTGACTTTATAGGCACTTAAATAATATTATTTCATACGTATTTTATTTTATCTTATATGACGAAAAATTTTCTAGTATTTCCTTCCATCCATCAATGTTAACATATCTCAAACTAATATTATAAGGAAAATTATCAACTATTAATGTAGTTTTATATTAACTGCATGGAAACTTAATGAGTATACAGAATTAGACCTAGTAGAATATATTGTAGTAGGAAAAGAAAAGTTTTGTTTTTTAAAACATTAAAATAATGAAATGAAAATCTATTATTTAAATTTTTGAATTTAATAAACAAGAAAAAAAAAATTGTTTAGAAAGACAGTAGTGAAATAGTTAACAATTTACTGTAGTTGAAAACATTTGCATAAATGAAAGTCAGACATATATAGAAATAGTTAAATTTGATAAACTATTCAATCTTCCTGTATACACTAAATGATAAGTAAACTTATATCTATTATTTAATCAAGGTTTAACACTCACTGTTGTCTTCATAAGACTAGCTATAAGCCAATTGTCGACAATCAAATTGATTGGTATTGTGTTAATGTTTTATACTCAACGTTAATAAAGTCAAGTCACTTTCATTTTCCGTGAGTATTATTATGATAAATTAAAAAAAAAAATTAATGCATAATCCAGGTAAATTATTACGTTAAAAATTGAATCTATCTAATAGAAATGCTTATTGAGAGAATTACTAAAAGAAACATAACTAAACAAACTAAGTTATTTTTTGATAATGATTGTGTTTAATATGATAATGTTCAATATTAAAAAAAAATTTTATTTAAATATTACATAAAATAATGTATAATTATGGAAGCAGAATGTATAAAATTTCATTTTATGTGGTAGATACGAGTTAGTTACACGATTATAATATACATATATATATTGAACTTTTTTAATTTAAGCAGTATATTTTGTTACAATGCCACTTCAATTAAAAAAAAAAAACAAAAATTATTTTTAAGAAATATCAAAAAAAAAATTTGTTTATTTTGCTTGCAATATACATTCTTTTCTATATAATTATAATTTAGTAAATTTATCAACTTGTATAACTTATGTACAATTTTTTCAATTATTAGCTTCGATGCGAAGCTGAGAAGGTATTAATTTTACCATGATGTTTTTTTTTTTTTTTTTTTATGTCTGTTGCCACTTTTTCTCAGCTCTCACTGGACCGATTTCTTTCAATAATACGTCACAAATCGTATCTAGTTGAAGACATTACCCTTAAAAATTGAAAAATTTTCCCTCGTTCCCTACAAATGGGGGAAATCTCTAAAAAAATTACAATTTTAAAAATCGGTATTATTTTTTCATTTTTTTCACTTTTTTTCTTGAAACTTCCATAACTTTTTCAAAAATCAACATAATTTTTTTTATACTAAATACTTAGATATTTCCCTTTCATTAGATATCATTTTTTTGAAAATTTAACACTTAACCTGCTCACTGTTGGGGGATTTAAAATAGCAACTTTTTTAGAAAAACTAACTTCTTCAACTTAATTTTTGAAAATGTTCCGGAAACACTGCGTCCTTTAAACATATAAATTAAACCTTATTTTAATGTAAGTGTCAGCACAAATTTTTTTTTTCTAAATACATTTTAAGTACACCTTTCATTTGACATTTTATAATGAAAATTTTATAATTACTATTTACAGTACATTTATCTGAGAAGTTCGATTTTTTTTACATTTTTATCGTAATAGATCACTTAAATAAAAATCATAGTAATTATTTCTAATTAACTTTTGGTGTTTAAAAAGATTCTACAATGGAAATATTCAGAATTTAATTAATTTTAATGATTATATATCTAAAAAAGCTAAAATAGTTAAAAAAGTTGTTAAAAAGATTTACTCAATTAAGCGTATTATAAAATTTGATTATAATTGTAAAAATCCATCTTTAATTCAGGTGAAACTAAAAATTATTTTTCTTTTAAATTTATGATTTATATAGCAACATGTTACAAAAAAATTTGGAATATTATAGACTGGTAGTAGCACACACAAATAGAGTTAAAAAATTAATAAATTACAAAGTAAAATTATTTACTTTTGTAGTTGAATACTTTTATCATATCAAATCTAATTCGACAATAAATACTTTAAGAATATTAGAAATTAATGATTTTAATTGTTTGTATGGAAAAAGTTGATTAAGCTACTTTTTATTTGAATAAGGAATATTTTTTTGATTTTTAAGAGTAATAACTTAAACTAAATACGAGTTGTAATCATTTGACGTATCGTTGAAAAAATTAGGTCTAGTGAGGGTTGGCAAAATAAATCGTAGCCACAAAAAGAACCACATAATAAAATAATATTAACATGAATATACATTTCTTCTCACGAGGGGAGACTATAGTGATAAGATCCTTTATATTTATTGAAGTTATTGAATCTAAATGAGATAAATATCAAATGATTTGAAAATTTTATTCTAACTAAAAAAAAATGCAAAATATTAAATGCCACAGACGGATTTGAACCTCGTACCGTTAGCGTGAAAGACATAAGTGATACCGATTCAAGCTACTGTTTGCTGCTTTTGTTGTATGATAAAATTAGCTATTTAAGCTAACTCAAATTTAAAAATTACTTTTTCGACCTTAAAAATGTAAAAAAATTTTAATAAGTTTAACTTCTTATATCTTATGAACTTTATTCTATGTCAATTAAATTATATTATATTCATGAAAGTCAGTGTATTCCCCTAATAAGATATTTTAAAATAAAATAAAATACAAAACCCAGAATTTTAATACAAAAATAGCATATATTTTAATACGGTAGCCACTTGCGCATAGAAGATAGGTCGTCGGGACAAATTTTTTTTTTTTTTAATTTAAAGTACATGAAATAAGCTTAAATTTGACATATGTTTAAAGGACGCAGTATTTCCGGAACATTTTCATAAGTTAAGTTACTATTTTAAATCCCCCCAGTGAGCAGAATAAGTGTTAGATTTTCAAAAAAATGATTTCAAATGAAAGAGAAATATCTAAAATTTTAGTATAAAAAAATTATGTTAATTTGTTAATATTTGAAAAAGTTATGGCAATTTTAAGTACAAAAAACATCCCGATAGAAGGTGATTTTTATCATATAAAATATATTGTAAAGATCGGGAGACAGGTCGCTTCTTTGGGGGACGCCTGATTGAATTTTGTAAGAAGTAGAATTTGCACAGCCTTGTCTTACTGTGAACTTCCTTTCATAAAGATAGGACTTAATTATTAAATATAAAGGTGCTGGAAATGTGTGTTTCAATTTGAAAAGCAGTCCGTCATGCCACACTCTGTCAAAGGCTTGGGCTACGTCGAGGAATAGTCCAGTGCAGTATTTGCGGTTTTCTAACACTGAAGCTATTGTATCAGTCAGCCAATGAACTTAATGTATGGTAGAGTGTCTCTCACGAAATCCAAACTAAGTGTTTGGTAAAATGTGGTGCTCTTGCAATATTGGCCTGATCCTTTTCAGCAGAAGTTTTTCAAACAGTTTGCTTAGTGTAGGTAATAAGCTGATCGGTCTATATGACGTTATATTTTTTGGTTTTCCTGGTTTAGGTATAAGAACTATTACAGCTATTTTCCAAATTGATGGGAAGTAAGAAAGTCGCATCATATTATTATATATGTATGTAAGAAGGAGAAAACCTTTTCATGATAAGTTTGTTAGCACTTTATTTGTAATGAGATCATACCCAGGAGCTTTTCCCTTTGGTAGTTTTTTGATAGTTGCTTCAATTTCTCTAGGACTGAATGGCTTGACAGGAAGAGACATAGGTAATGGACATGATAGAAAGTTATTAACAGTATTAATATGATTTGTATCGGGCACGATGTCGTTATGTGATTTAAATGTATTAAATAAATGTTCAGCAAAGGTTGTAGCTTTCTCTTCGTCTGATATAGCAAGAGTACCGTTATCTTTTTGAAGAGGTGGGGTAGTTTCTTTAGTTTGAGTCAGTCGTTTTGTAGCTCTACATAATGATTTATCCTTAATGTTGAGTGATTGAATGTAATTTTGATATTGGGCTATTTTGAATTTTTGAAGTTGGTTTTTTAGGTTATTAGCTAGTTTGTTATAGAGTTGTTTGAACGAGGGGTAACGAGTGTTTTGCCAAATAGACCTTATTCTTCTTTTCTCACTGATAAGAGCTCTTCTATGAACTGGTAGTTTTACTTCGCTTCTACCATTACTCTTACTTAATGAGGATAAACTGTTTGCTGAGTTCTTAATTAGTGAGACAAAGTTTTGAGCCGCGTTTTCGATGTCTTCATGGGTTTTAAGTGGAATTTTCAAGTTAATATTTTTATTCAAATTGATTCTGAATTTATCCCAGTTAATATGTCCTTTTGTAAGTGATGGTCTTGTATTATAAGAAACTTCGCCACCAATAGTGAGTATAACAGGTGAGTGGTCGCTAGTGATGTCACAAATATTTTCTATGTTTGTACTTAGCTGGTTTGGAATATTTGTTACAATAAATTCGAGTATATCAGGGTATCGTTTTGCGTGGGTAGGCCAGTAAATTGGTCCTGTTGGTGAAATAGTTGAATAGTGTTTATTGTTGTTAACTGTAAGCAAATGTTTTCCTCTTTGATTATTACCAAAACAACCAAACCTTGGATGTTTGGATTTGAAGTACCCTCCCGCTATAAATGAGTTATCTAGGGAGTTGAAAAACTGCTGGAAGCCATCTTGACGTATACTATTATAAATTGGAGGGCAATATATCGCTGATATAGTGATTGGTATGCTATTGATTTTTATAGACACACTTGAAGCTTGTATATATAGTTCTTGGTACGGACTTATTTTATAGTGTTATATATTTTTTTGAAATGTAAATGGCGGCCCCAGCATGAGCAGTGCCGTCAGGGTGGTTAGTTTTATACATAGTGTAGTTATAAATGTTAAAGTAATTATTATCAGTAAAATGAGTTTCACTTATCAGTGCTATGTCTATTTTGTTATAATTAAGTACAGTTTGAAATTAATTTTTGTATTGATAAAGACCATTAGCATTCCAAAGTAGTATTTTGATGATAGGATTTGTTGATGTAGGCATTTTAGTCATTTTTTAAAATAATTTTATTAATTACAGTGGTTAGTAGGATACCAAAGGATTTTAAGTCATTTAAGAATGAGGAAATTCTCTGTAATTCGCTGGATGAGCTCCTCCACATAATACACATTTGGGCGGTTGGTCTTTAGTTTTTTGACAAATGTGATCCGTTACATTTGACACAACGGGGTTCGTGGTTACAATATTTTTTAGTGTGTCCAAAATTTTGGCATCGGAGGCATTGTACTGGATTATTACTAAGTATAAGTTCTTCAAATTTTATTTTTGAATGATAAATAGTATCAATTTTGAATATTTCATTATTGTTTGTGTCAGGTTCAAGGTCGACAAAAAACATAGAAAGTGGTTTTTTGGTGAATCTTTGCAGGGCATTAACGACTTGTTTGACTTTAAAATCAAGTCAGTTAATTCATCCTGAATAATTTTGGGGTCTGAGGAATAGTGCAAATTTTTTAGTACAACTCGAAATGGTTTGTCTTGTTTGACTTGATATGTATGGAAATCAACATTTTTTTGTAAAAGTACTCGTACAATTTTTCAATATGAGTCATGGGTTTTTATTTGGAGTTTTAAACCAAATGCGTTACTTTTACAAGTAAACTCATCGATATCAATGATTTTTTTAATAGCCTCGCAAAAGTTAACGTAGTTTAAATCAGGTTTGATGAATATAGGCGGTGGTTTGTACGGGGTGGGTTGATTTGTTGGTTCTGTTTCCATGTTATCTAAACCTGTTTGAAGAGAAGTGAACCATTTTAGTACTTTGATATTATTATTGGAAATACCACTGTGTTTTGCTATAGGAGAGAATCCAGGTGAATGTGTATGTGGTCTTTTATTAGATGATAAAACGGTTATCCAGTCGTCATCGTACTCGGCAGTAGTGGTTTTTTGTTTGTCTTTTGTATTGCTAATTATTTGAGAACGATTTACAATAGTTATCGGAGTTATCGAAACGTTACTAATTCTAGACAACGGCGTCATTGGCGGACTGCGATTACTATTACTCATTTTGAGGCAAGTAGTGAAATATTAAATTCTTACCTAGATCCCAAAGGATCACTATGATGTTAATATTTTTCTTATATCTTGGATTCGTTGATTGAAATATTTTAAACAAAACTGATTTGAATAAAATGATAAATTTAACGTAAAGTTATAGCAGAAAAATAATGGTAGCGAAACACGAGACATGTCAGCTCTGTAGCAGCTAAAGGCAATGTTAACAACATTTCAGTTGATAACTTAACGTGTACTCGGACCAGTCTAATCGTTATCACGCGACGACTCCCTACTATGAACGTTGTAGTGGACGTTCCTATCACCGGCCGATCAGCTGTTACACACTACACACCACACACGCACATAACCGCATTATAGTATAGTACAACATTGTATTGCGTAATAACCAGTATATACACATTGTTTTTTTTCTATTGTTGAATTTCGTATATTTTCTTGAAAACGTAATTTAATTTTTGTAACAGGAAGAAGTTATTTTTATATCATAGCATTGATTGTTTGCAAAAATCTTGTTGCACTAATTGTGACTTCCTTAAAGCTACTAATTAGCTGACGGAAAGATTTATTGTTGCTACTAATTAGTAAAATTAAGCTAGTCAATTGTGATATTTAAATTTGAGTTACCAAATTGTAGTCTTAAGTTCATTTGTTATTATCGTGATCCTTGTTTTAGTGTTAGATAGCATCTCTGGCCAGCAGCTCTGCAAATTGTGAGTATTATTGTTGATTTGTGTTCCACTTTGTAATTTAGTGTAGTCATCTTTATTATTATTATAGTGATTATTGATTGTGATTTAGTGAACATATTAGTTATCACAAGTTTTATTTATTTATTATTTATTTCATTGTACGCGTAAGGCCAACGCACAACGGTCATAAGGACCTTGTGAGTATAAAATAGTCATTATCGTACGGGTATTTGTTGTTTTATATTGTGGGTAAATCATTAAATAATTAAACTATCTTTAATTTTGTGTTATCTGTTCAATGTCATTTTAATAATAATTATTATCTAGTTAAATTTGTTTAATTTAGTTACTACATCTTATTATTGAATTTATACTATTATTCTTTATATTGTCCTTTTAATTAATTTACATAATTTTACACCATTGTTCTTGGAGTATTTTATACATATTGTTTATTACTACAATTACTTTAAAGAAAGAGTTGAGAATCATTTATTATTGGAAGAGTCATATTCATTTGTTATTGATTTATTAAAGTTGTATAGTTCATTGTTGTTGTTATTCTGTTATAGCCTTAGAGTGCATATTTATATTATTTGTTGAGCCAAAAGGGCTAAATTTATCTTGTCAAGTCATTTATTAAATTATTATTATTAATTATTGTAAACAGGTTTAAATTATTTATTTATTTAGTTTGATAGCATACACTTACATAATTACACACTAACACATCTGTCACTACATAGATCACTGGTTGCTGCGCAGGCGACCCCTCCTACCACCAGTGATTCTATTTACATACACTACACTACGCAGCCTGATCGGTATTAGTGCAATTAGCCGGTTCGGGTACGCACTATAATATTTAGTGCCCCTGACCCCAACAGGCAATCTGATTTTTTTCAATTTACAACATTATTCTCAACAATGTAACCTTTGTAGTAATATCTATGAAGCGCAGATTTTGTGTGTAAATATTTATGTTTTTGAAAAATATGTATTAAAATATAAAATATTAAAAATAAATTTTTTGAAAAATACTTTATTCTTTTATCTTTATTTTTGTCTTCTTTGAAACAATAAGATATAAGGTACATATGGAGATTTTGAAATATAAATACACGGCGGTTATGTCTTAAAATTGATTTTTAGCGGCGGATCGTTCAACATTGATCTAAGATAATGGGGCATATTTCATATTCGTTCAGAGATGACGTTAATTCAATATCCATTAATATGTTTTTATATTTATTCAAAAGAATATCTTTAATAGATTTTATGTTTTTTAATCCAACATTTATAGTGAATCGTAATTTAATTTTTCTTAATTTTCATTGAACTTCATCAATTTTTAGCTTCGATGCGAAGCTGAGAAGGTATTGGTTTTACTATGATGTGTTTTTTTTTTTTTTTTTTTTGTGTCTGTTACCACTTTTTCTCAGCTCTCACCGAACGGATTTCTTTCAACGATACGTCAAAAGATCACAAATCGTATCTAGTCGAAGACATTACCCTTCAAAATTGAAAAAATTTCCCTCGTTCCCCGTAAATGGGGGAAACCTCCAAAAAAATTACAAATTTAAAAATCACTAATTTTCGAAATTTTTTCAATTTTTTTTACTAAAAACTGCCGTAACTTTTTCAAAAATGAACATATCGATATAAATTTTTTTTATATAGATGCTTGATATCTTTACCTATCGTTTGCTATATATTTTTTGTAAATTTGACCTTTTTTCTGCCCACAGGGGGGGATTTAAAATGACAACTTTTTCACAA